AGCTAAGCAGTTAGATATTATAGTAACATTAGTTTATAATGGTATAGGTTAGTTGAACAGAATGTTTAAATAGATAAGATTTAAAGTAAAATTAGATAGAATTTCTTAATAACTAGTAAAATTTCTAGATCTTATGTTAGAATTTTGTAATTTAAATTTCTTTAAGATTAGAAAAATAGTGAAAAATCTAATGCAAGCTAGTAAAATCTATAAATATTTAGAAAATCTTTAAACAAGTTTTCAGAGATAATTTTCTAAATTTTGGTTTATTTTTAATAAAATATATATTAAAATAAAGCTTTGACTTAGAAGAATCTAACTTTTTTAATGATTAAGAGTTGTTATATAGTAAAACTTTAAAATAATTAAAAAAAACTAAATAAACTAAAAATATATAATAGCTTTATAGAATTTGATTTAAGAGATATAAAATTAGATTACTAAATATAAAATTTTATACTTAACAACTTTACTTAGATGTCTAGAGATTGTTTACTTAATAAGATTTTAAGATATTTTAAAAAAATTAAAGAAATAAAGAATATTTAATATCTTTATAGAAAAAATTCTAAAAAAAATAAAACTAAATCAATCTAAAGTAAAATTTTGTTATAAACAACTTTATTTAGTAATCTAAGAATAATTTACTTTAGGTTCGGTAACCTAGTATAGTAGTCAAGTTGTCAAACTATCATACAATAGGTCTGAAGTTCAAATCTCACTATTGACAAATTTGAATAATACCTAGACCTGTATATCAAACTTACAGAAAACTCTGCTCGTTCCCAAAAAGAGAGTTCTGGGGGATGTGACAAAACTTTGTAAAAAATAGTATTGCACTAAGTCAATTAGATATTAGAAGTATGACAGTAATATTATACGAATAAATCTGTATTAGATATATAGACAGAAGATCTGCATAGTAGAAATTCTGAGTTGGTAAAGTAGTATAGCTTTCAACAGTCATACTAGCTAACACTTGATCTGAAAAGAAACTGTTTCAAAGGATATAAATCAGAATAGATGCGAGTAAGTCCATATCTGTAGTAAAGATCATAGCACTAATCTGGCTTAGTAGCTAACTAGATTTGGAGGATCTACTTTGTGAAACATCTAGAAAAATTGATTAACACAAAACTAGTGGAAAGCTATGGTAGGAACTAGAGTTGTACGAATATCTACAAAGGTCTAAGCTAGGTAAGTTTATGAAATAAGCACAGGCTACTCTAGTAGGTTTGCTTCGAGGTTAACTGGAGCTCTGCAAAACTCACAATATGTTGAGTACAGTATCCTAAGAATACCTAAGCTGAAGTTGATAAATAGATTTGCAACGAACTAGCTAGCTTAAGCAGTTAGATATTACAGTAATATTAGTTTGTAATAGTATGGGTTAGTTAAACAGAGTATTTAAATAGGTAATTCACAGGCAGGTTACAGATATAGTAGTATAGTGTAGTACTAACAGATAGTCTAACGCCTGCATAGTAGACTACTTAAATTAGACAATAACTAAAGTTGTATATATAGCTTGTTGTATACTCTTTATGTAATTACAAACTGTAGGGGAACCTTATGTAGAACCTCATATATTAAACTAATAAAATTCACTTGGCCATGTAAACTACCTTAAAAATAAAATAAAAAAGGATAATTTACTTAATAGAATTTTGAATAATAATTAAATATTTATAAGAAGTTTTAAAACAAATAATCTTTAAAAAGAGTTACTAAATTGTATTTCAAGTTGTATTTTTTTTTTTTTTTTTTTTTTTTTTTTTTTACTTTATACAAATGCTATCAGTTAACTTTTATTAATTTCATAAATTTCAGAAATGATATATATTGTGAGAGTACAACTAGCTACATATATAATTTTAGATTGTTTATTTTAAGTAGTCTGCTCAAAGGTTCTACACTAGCTACCTTATTTAAAATCTCTTAGAAGATTCTCTATTTAAACTCTCTGGCTCTATCTCACTTACTGCAAATATTACTCATATAGTTAACTCTAACCTTGTGCTACTTTATATTAGAAGGTACTCAAACTGACATTAGTTACAAACTTTACTATTATGAGCTCAGATCTTATCTAAATAAGTCCTACTTCAACGCTCTCTAACAGATAGATATCATAATACCCAACTATGTTATACTATATTTCCATTCTAGCTTGTATATACCTTTATTCAATATTCATACAAACTTAGTTCTAGCTATGGCCCTCTACTAGTTTAGACTTCTATATTCTTCTAAATGTTTTATGAAGCAGTTTCTCCTAATCTAGTTAGCTGCTAAGCCAAGTTAGTATTGTCATAACATCTAATGTCACAGACTTATTTGTACCTATTCAATCTACATTTTTGTACTCAGAAATCTTTATCAGATCAAGTATTAACTGACATAACTGTCAAAATCTATACTACTTTATCTAACTAAAGATTTCTACTATACAGATCCTCTGCCTGTAGATTCTATCTTGATTTATTCATATAATGCAACTCCAACATTCTGTTACACTTCCAATATCTAAACAACATTAGTACAATATGATTTATAAGGTTACAATCCCCAAAAACAAAGTTTACTATAAGTTGAATACAAGGTTTTAAAAATTATTCAAAATGTCAACAGAAGGATTTGAATCCCAAACCTATTGTATGGTAATCTGACAACTTATTCACTATACTAGATCACTAAATCTTTAAGTTGTATTTTTTAAAAATTAAATTTTCTTTAAAAAAGTTTAAAAAAAACTTAAAACTAAATACATAGTTTGATAGATTTTATCAAAAGCTACTTAAATATATATAGCTTTTTTGTAATTAAACTTTTAGATAAAAAGTTTTTGCAATTTTAGATTTATAATAAAGACTAGACTACTTATACCATATCACATTATTATTACATTAAACAAATTAACCAATCAGAGGACAATTTCGCGATAATCACATAGAAATAAATTCGCCCGTATGTAACTTAATTTGCATGGCCTAATATAAAATCTAGAACCGGTCAATTCCGCAGATATCGGATTATGAACTCAATTACTGATTGGATAATTTTTTATATATACGTATATAATAACCGCAAAACCATGTTTTTTTTTTTTGAACTAATGATACTTTCCGTCTTTGAATGGCGTAAGTTTGTAGACTTGAATTCTCAAAAGTGTCTACTTTAAATATTTTCCGGATTGGATTATAACATTAGTACTTCTGTCGTCAATCACGGTTTATCCTATATCGGAAAACTTCAGATCTGGTATAGAGGTCGGTAAATGTAATGGACGAGAGTTCTTCACGGCGTAGTAGTACTCAATCAACCGCAACAAAAACATCAAGAGGAACTGACATACAACACCAACATCGTATTACTAGAGCTACAGCTCGAAATAATCAAGAAGCTAATCTGGTAGTTAACGAAAACATACCACAACAATTAAGGTATTATTTTCGAAGAAGAGAAATAAATATGGATATTCAACCGGAACCGATGGACATTGATGAGCCAGCTGTATTGGAAATTTCAGATAATACGGTTAGAGATGACACAAATATGATGAATATGGACCATCCTGATGCAGGGTTGAACTCTGATGGTAACGACATTGAAAGTGAAATTATTAATCATAATGCTGAAATAGAGCATGATACAGATAGTGATGATGAGAGCATTCAACATCACGATATCATTACGAACGAAGTACGAGAAGAAATTGTAAATCAAAGAATTTCTCTTCCCGATGATGTAAGGGATGCACTTTTAGCTATTGCACGAACAAAAGCAAACAGTGATCAGTTGGGTCGGCTTGCAAATCACTTTTTATCTGACAGTAATCCACTTACAAATTGGAACCTTACATTACTTGTTCATAAACTGGCAGAAATAATTAAAAAGGAGAGTGTTACTGGAGGAATACCACCAGAATTCATGTTTTCAGGAGCGGGTGATATGGATCCACTTGTTATGCAGAGCTTAATTGATTCAGCTATATTTTCGAATGATCCAGCCGATTCAAACGTAATAACGATGGCAAGCAGATGTCTAAGCAATTTAGTAACGAAATTGGGAAGAAATGCAGAACCTATGATTGGACCAGCTATAAATGAAAAAGTAGTACCTCTTTTATGTGATATTTTAACAGAGGGACCTCAAACAAATGACTCAGAACATTTGAAAGCTATTATTATAGCGTTATATCAATTTTCAAAACCCTATCGAATTAATTGTTCACGTTACATAGTTAACCGACGTGTACTTCCTCATATATTTGGGTCCATTCTCCCATTTTTTGCCGACGGAGATCGTCTTCTTCCTTTAAAACTATTAGCTAATTGTTGTCAAAATGCACCACGAGATTGTTACAAAATATTGATGGACGAAATTATTAATGGAGATGACTTTAAATGTTTATTTGCCGATTATGAACCACCATATGTTGTTCGTCGGTGCTCTTTGGTTATTTCGTACATGACATCACTTTATCCGGATGATTTGAATTCATTTAGAGTAAGTTTTATTTAATAATATTATATTTCTGCTTAATACTAGTTTAATATATATATTTTATATATTATTAGATATTTAGCAATGATAATGTAATAAGACTTATGGTTGAAAATGTCAATGTTTTTAGGTTAGAAATAAAAATTTTATTGATTTGTAGAAAATTTTAATCAATAAATTAGTTAATAATATAGAATCGATAATAATTTTGTTTATTAGTGATGAAAACTCTAATAAACCTGACGATGATTTAAACGAAGATGAATGCAAATTACATATCTGGAAAATGTTTACTACTTTAACCACAAAGTCACCAGTCAACCTTGCAAGGATTTTTCAGCATGGTATTGTGAGAGCTCTATATGAAACCTTAACTCATACACCTGCACCATTCTTTGATCATCGAGACACAACTAAAATGATGGTGGAAAAAGTTCAAAAAAATCAGAGAAATGCGAAATCAAGGTTAGAATCGTATAATCTTTGCAAATGTATCTTCAATTTTATATTGAGGCTGTTTCCATCACTTCCACGAACTGGTGTGTTTTACCAATTTAATTTATTGTTTTTTACTTGCGGCTAGATTTTTGTTAGTTTTTAACGTATTAAATTTATAGGCTCACAACAAATGAAACAAATAAATGGTGATTATGACGACGATGATGAGGATCAAATTTCAGATATTATAGAGACAGGTTTGTTACAATGTTGTTTAAGTAGACTTCATTTTATAAATAAGTTTGTTAGACATAAATTCATTTGTCTTTTGAAGGGATTGAAAAAGTTGATATTGATGATATGAGTGTCGACCATGAAGACAGTCCTCCCGCTTTTATGTCTGAAGAACAAACGAAAGCTTTCGCGTGTCTTATATTACCAGCGTTGATTCAAGCCTATTATTCAACTAATATATCTACAGAGGCTAAAACTTGGGAAATAAGAGCGATGATTATTGATTGTGTCGTGGTTTTTATTCATTATCTTGACAACGAATTGATTCATGACATTTTGGAGGTTTGTACAGTCGTTCTTATATCATCATGTAATATAATTTTCTGTATAGTTAAGTGAATCAGACTAAACAATACATATGTATTTTAGCAAGCAGAAATTCAAGATTTTTTGGAGACAGTTTTCAAAGCTACATATTATGTCTCCAATGTTAACGATAGTCATGTAAAGCACGTATTTAAGCAAGGAATGGAAATTGTAGCACAATGTCTTGATAGTTGGGGCGAAACCTTTGAAAAAAAATTTGCGTATGATATAATGATTAAGCTTATAAAACGCGTCACAAATATAATTAAGGAATAATCAGAAATTTTAATCGAGTTAAGACATTGATAATAGATGTTCACTTGGATCATCAAACATGCTTTAAATGGTTTAAGAACTTGCACGGGCAAATTTTTAGCGCAACTTTTTGTATTATGTGAATTAAGGTGACGTTAATATTTTTCACACGGCGATGTTTGATAATATATGCAATTCTGTTAATAAATAGTTTTGGGAAAATATATAATAATTCAAGAAATTTTTTGAATATAATGCAAACAATCTAAATATAACTTGTGCATTAAGCATTAATATTCAAACAAGTTATTATTTTCCCAACTTTTTATATGTCAATAAGCTCGTGACTTTGTATAATACCTTTGTCTGAACTATATTTCTAATAAACTTTACAGTATATTTATACAGTATGCAAATCTGAAAGGACATACAGTGGCGATCATAAATAATGCAACAAAAAATATTTTAGTTAGACCTATGGTTTTTTATTTTATTTTATTCGTCTTTTTTTAGTTTTGATTATTACTTTATGTGAGTGTATTACAAATCACGTGTTGCATTACTTTTGGCGAAGATCAGATGGCATTTATTGTACTACATATGGGCTAGAAAAATCAATTTTTTTTTTTTTTATTATTAAGGCCACTTTCTTGGCCGATTAGATTTTATTAGTTTGTTATTACGGAACTATCACATGAACAGTTTCCTAAGGTTTATAGTTACATG